TTTAGAAGAATGAGAAGTAGTAATAACCTTAGTTTTACATATAAGATCTAAGTTTTTAGGATTTAAGTGAAAGAGTAAGAACTAAAATGTAGGTGAAGAGGCACAACGTGTCTACGTCAGTGCACTCTTATTCGATTATTTTATCAACTATAAGCTTTATCAAAAAGGAAGGTCTTAAGCGTACTCTTAAAAACGGATAGGCTGTCTGCCGCCCGAACACAAACTGGAAGCTGATTCCACAAATGTGGAGCTTGATAAGAAAAGGCTCTGGCTCCCATTGTACTTTTAGAGACTCTAGGAACAACAAACAACCCTGCATTCTTGGAACGCAATGCCCTAGTAGGACAGTAGGCTATAATGAGTTCTTTAAGGTAAGATGGCGCCTGCCCATTAAGGGCTTTGTAGGCGAGAAGAAGAATTTTAAATTCTATCCTGTGTTCTATAGGGAGCCAGTGTAAAGCAGCCAGAACAGGAGTAATGTGGTCCCTTTTCCTAACTCTGGTTAGTACACGTGCTGCAGCATTTTGAATCAGCTGAAGCGACTTAACTGACTTCTTGGTACACCCTGATAATAAAGAGTTACAATAATCCAGCCTAGAAGTAACAAATGCATGGACTAGTTTCTCTGCATCGTTTTGAGGCAAGATATGCCTGATTTTTGCAATGTTACGTAGATGGAAGTAGGCGGTCCTTGAAATTGATTTCATGTGGGCGTCAAAAGATAAATCCTGATCAAATATAACACCAAGATTCCTTACAGTCTCACTGGAGGCCAAATTAATGCCATCCATAGTTAGTATATCTTTAGATCATTTGTTTCGTAGGTTCTTTGGGGCAATACAATAACTTCAGTTTTGGCCGTGTTTAACATCAAAAAGTTTAAGGTCATCCACGTTTTTAAGTCCTTGAGGCAGTCTTTAATTTAATTTTTTTTACTTATTGTTCCTTATAGCTTTGTGAAGCACCTTGAGATTACGTTGTTTTTAAAGTGTGCTATATAAATCAAATGTATTATTATTATTATTATTATTATTTAGATGATTCATTTCATCAGGCTTGATGGATAAATATAGTTGAGTATCATCCGCATAACAATGGAAATTTACAGAATGATTCCTTATAATATTGCCTAACGGAAGCATATATAATGTGAACAAAATAGGTCCAAGCACTGAGCCCTGTGGCACTCCATGGCTAACTTTGGTTTGCATGGAAGATTCATCGTTGACACACACAAACAGAGAGCGTTCAGATAGATAGGACCTAAACCAGCCTAAAGCAGTTCCCTGTATGCCAACTAAGTGCTCTAGTCTTTGCAATAGGACTTCATGGTCGATAGTATCAAATGCAGCACTGAGTCCTTTGTCTGAGGCTATTAGAAGGTCATTTGTGACTTTAACCAGAGCTGTTTCTGTGCTATGATGTGTTCTAAAGCCAGACTGAAAATCTTCAAATAAATCATTGTTTTTTAAGTAATCACACAACTGTTTTGCAACTGCTTTCTCAAGAATGTTTGAGAGGAACGGAAGATTAGAAATAGGTCTATAATTGGCTAAAACCTCTGGATCGAGGTTGTGCTTTTTAAGAAGAGGTTTTATCACTGCTACTTTAAATGATTGTGGAACATAGCCTGATAATAAAGATATATTCATAATATTTAATAAAGAAGTGCTAATTAATGGAAAAACTTCCTTTAACAGTTGGAATTGGGTCTAAGATACACGTTGATGGTTTAGAAGAGAGAATCATTGAATTCAATTGTTCAAGGTTTATGGCTGAAAAGCATTCTAGTTTACTATCTAGTGTAATATTAGAACTTACGTTTCCGGGAGCTGTTGATAACACTATACTAGTCAAAGGCAAAAGGTCATTAATTTTGTTTCTAAGAGTAACAATTTTATCATAAAAAAAGCACATAAAATCATTACTACTGAGTGCTATGGGAATAGAAGGCTCAATCGAGCTGTGGCTCTCTGTCAGCCTGGCTACAGTGCTGAAAAGAAATCTTGCATTATTCTTATTCTCATCTATTAATGAAGAGTAGTAAGCTGCTCTCGCTTTACGCAGTGCTTTCTTATATTCATTGAGAGTAATATGCCAAATTAAACGAGATTCTTCAAGTTTAGTGGAACGCCATATCCTTTCAAGTTGTCTCGACTTTTGCTTTATTTTGCGGGTTTCGGCATTATGCCATGGAGCTAGTCTATGTTGTTTTATTTTCTTCTTTTTCAAAGGAGCAACAGTCTAATTTTATTCGCAGGGCATCTATAGCACTATAAACAACATGATCAATTTGGGGTGGTGTACATTTTGTATAAGTTTCCTCCCTTACATGCAGACATGCTATCGAGTTAAGTATTGATGGAATCTCTTCCTTAAATTTGGCTTTAGCACTAACAGGTTTCTGCTGCAGGAGCTTTTGACTAATGGTTTGTAGTCTAGTAACAGTACTTCAAAAGTTACTAAGAAATGGTCGGATAAAGCAGGATTATGCGGTTCGACTAATAGTTGCTCAATTTCAATACCATAAGTCAGAACAAGGTCGAGAGTGTGATTATAGCAGTGGGTTGGTTTATTTACACTCTGACGGAAACCAATAGAATCTAATATAGAGTTAAATGCAACAGTAAGGCTATTTTTATCATCGTCAACATGAATATTAAAGTCACCTACGATAATTACTTTATTTGTTTTAAGTACCAAAGTTGATAAAAACTCAGAGAATTCTGAATAAGGACCTGGTGCACGGTACACTGTAACAAATAAGATTGGCTGCAAAGTTTTCCAGGTCGGATGCGTAAGACTAAAAACAAGGCTTTCAAAGGAGGTATATTTTAATTTTGGTTTAGTATTGATAAGTAAACTTGAGTCAAAGATTGCTGCAACTCCACCTCGTCGGCCTGTGCCTCGAGCAATATGAGTATTGATATGGCTGGGTGGAGTGGCTTCATTTATACTGACATATTCTTCATGTCTCAACCAAGTTTCAGTGAGACAGCATATATCAATATTATAATCTGATATTAAATCATTTACCAATATTGCTTTAGATGCTAGAGATCTTATGTTTAAGAGACCACATTTAATCTTCCTGTTTTGTTGCACTGTAGTAGTTGTTACATTTACTTTTATTAAGTTATTATGTATGACACCTCTATTAGGTTTTACTTTAAATTGTCCTTGGGCAGACACACACACCGTTAATATTGGGTATTTTATTGGAGAGAGCGCAGAGAAGCGTGTAAAACTGCGACTCCTCCTCCTGGTCTCAACTCCAGTTTGTCATGGATTAGGTCCACAAAGCTCTGAAATGTTTGCTGAAATTAGATCTGCCCCTTCCAGAGTTGGATGAATGCCGTCTCTCTTAATCAGATCAGGTTTTCCCCAGAACGCTGTCCAATTATTTACGAAGCCCACATCGTTTGCTGGGCACCACCAAGACAACCAGCGCTGAAATTATGACATGCAGCTATACATGTCGTCATTGATCAGATTGGGGAGGGGACCAGAGAAAATGACGGTGTCCGACATTGTTTTAGCATATCTACACACCGACGCCACATTAACTTTGGTGCATTCTGATTGGCGTAAACGAACATCATTACCACCAACGTGAATAACAATCCTATTGTATTTACGTTTATTCTTAGTCAGCAGTTTAAGATGCGCCTCAACGTCGCCCGCTCTGGCCCCCGGAATGCATGCGACTGTGGAGGCTTTGGTCTCTAAATTCACATAATAGAGCTACCAATAACCAGAGTTGGCTTCTCAGCGGGTGTTTCGTTGAGTTGGGAAAATCTGTTAGATAAGTGAACGGGTTGGTGGGGACCTGCGGGTCTCGCGCTATGCCCGTTCTTAACTATCACCAAGTCTCCCTGCTGCTCGGGAGTTGCCGGGGGACGGCTAGTAAGAGCTACCTCTTGCCGGTCTGCACCGACTAATATGGGTTTTACTGTAGCTGAGTTACTTTCTAAAATGCGGAGCCGGGCTTCTATGGCTATGATTCCCGCCTCCAACCTAGCAACTGTACTACATTTAACACATGTAGGCCTATCGGTACCAGTAAAGGAGGAAGGGAAATAACCAAACATAAGACAGATAGAGCAGGAAATAGCACCCGAGGGTGGGGAAGGAGCCATGGCTAGCTATCAAGCTAAAGTAGCTACCGTTAGCAAACCCGAAAGGAGTGTAAGCAACTGTGGAGTTACAGTCGCTATGAGAAGAAGAGTTGTGAGTGCTTAAGCTCTAGAAACGTGTGATTACAACGTCAGGTAGCTGCCGTGATCAAGAATTGTAAAACGATCGATTTAGTTTAAGATAATATAAGCTATCAGCAGCAGAACAGGCACACAGGATAGCCCGGAGGTGACTGACAACAACAACCGGAAGTGACAACACGCTTACCGCAATAGTGAGGGTCCGAACAGCACGAGACAACACAGGAGTGGCTAAAGAAGAAGCACATTTAGGTGAGGGAGGCGCCTAGCCAGTCTCCGGACCTTAATCCCGTAGAAAATCTGTGGAAGGAGCTGAAGCTTCCAGATGCCAAGCATGAGCCTCAAAACCTTCAGGATTTGGAGAGGATCTTCAGAGAGGAGTGGACCAAAATCCTTCCTGAGATGTGCACACACCTGGAGACCAGCTACAAGAAGCGTCTGACCTCTGTCTGTCGAACAAGGGTTTCTCCACCAAGTACTAACACATGTTCTGCAAGGGGATCAAATACTTATTTCCCACAGTTGAATGCAAATCAATTTTTATCTTTTATATAATGTCCATTTCTGGATTTTATTTTTGATATTCTTACTCTGTGTTCAAATAAACCTACCATACAAATGATAGACTGTTCATTTATTTGTAAGTGGGCAAACTTACAAAATCTACAAAGGATCAAATACTTATTTCCTCCACTGTGTATATATATATATATATATATATATAAGTAAAGAAACTGTAACCACACTTTCCATATGTGTCTGACTCCCTCCTCCTTCCGGCAGTCCTTCAGGGAAGAAGTTCAGAAGCAAGCCTCAGTTGTCTCGTTACCTTGGAAACACAGTGGATCTTGGGTGTTTCGACTTCCGGACGGGGAAGATGATGCCTGGAAAACTGCAGAAGAACAAACAGAGACTCCGGAATGACCCGCTCAGCCTGGCCAAGGTAACACTGATGGGGAGCGGGGGCTGCATAGGTGTTCAGTGTTATCACATTATCAGATTAACACTGTGCTTCCTGCAGCAGGGCAGATGACAACCAAACACAGCAGCATAATAATAAAACTGTACACAAACAGTGCAGTAAAAAGAGCAATTAAATAACTACAAGAAACATAGACGGTCACATAATTAATGTAAAATAAATAAATAAATAAAATGTAGTAGTGAAAAAAAACATAGTGGCAGATACGTAATTGCAAGTCATTATAGAACATTATTAATGACAATAATATTGCACATGTTATATTGCAGCGAGTGTTTTGTAATGATGGTAATGGTATTTATATTGCACATAGTGTTGGTGTGGAAGTTCTCAGTACCCTTTACTAAAGGGTGTTATATAGTTTGATGGCCACTGGGAGGAAAGTCCTCCCAGTGGCGCTCCGTGGTGGTCTTCGGTGGTCTCAGTCTACAGCTGAAAGTGCTCCGGTAGGAAACCAGTGTGGCATGCAGGGGGTGAGACTCGTTGTCCAGAATGTTGAGAAGTTTCCTCAGCATTCTCCTCTCCGACACCAATGACTCCTGCTCCACTCCCAGGACAGAACCTGCTCTCCTGATGAGCTTGTTGAGTCTGTTGGCATCAGCTGTCTTCACCCCGCTGCCCCTGCACACTACAGCAAAGAAGATCACACTTGCGGCTTTCACACCAGCGCTTTTCCCTTTCTAGCTCCGAGCTAGAGCTTTTCTGGTTCAGCTCCGGTTTCCCTTTTCTGTTCCCGCTTTGTTCACACCACTCAGAGCCGGGATGGTGCTGCCGCTGCTGCGCCATGACGTCACCGTTTACATCGCTGATTTGCTCCCCAACAGCGCTCACAACAACAACAACAACGGGGGACTGCGTCGGGTCGATGATCGTGTTGCTTTTAATCATACGAAGCCAGATTAAATAAAATAACGACTTCTCCAACCTTATACTTTTCTCCAGAGTGCCGTGGTTCATTGTTTATTAATGTGTTTCAGCGGCATTTACCGACCGCTGCAGTGCTGGCTGCTCTTCCACGGGAGTCTATTCTCCCGTTAGCTCCGGGTTAGCTCACACGGCTCTAAAGTATTCACTGTCTGACTGTCACACAAGCAGCTGATACATATCCCCAGTTCCCCTTAAGTGAATGTGTGTCAGTCTGAATTGACGCTGTTTGGCATCACAACGCTGTTATGAAAGTTTCTCTGGTATAACATGGGTGATGTTAGCATAGCAACCGAAGCTAAACTGACTACTTGCTAAGCCGTTTTCTACAGGCACATTTTACCGGCGTATTTTTCATTATGATTCTACTTGTGATAGTCGGACATGACAACCTGTGCAGCCCATGTATTGATTCCATCCGATAGCTGCTATAATACAAAACAAAACCTCTGCCTGCTCTCCACAATGATCAATAACAGCGAACAGATGGTCAAAGTAAGGTACAAATAAACAGAATCACACGAAGCCTGGTTAGTGTTGCCTGACTTTATAAAGTGTGTTTTTTTTTATAAGTGTGTGGTTGCCTTCTAGTCACTTTGCTCAGCGCTACTGCTTGTAGGCAGGCATGACGAGACTCTTCAGTCGACCCATGTTCAGGGGAGGTGGGTTTAGTTTCCTGCATGCCTCAACGTAAGAGAGACGTAAGCGACGCCGCCTCTTAGCTCCGGAGTCTTGCTTCTAGACCGACAATGTTTTGGAGCTGGAAACGAACTGGATTCCGGAGCTAAGAGGCAGCGCCGCTGCAGTGTGAACAGGAAAAAACTGTACTTTTCAGGCTCTAGCTCCGAGCCGGCGCTGAAAACGCGTTGGTGTGAAAGGGGCAACTGGAGACAACAGAGTAATAAAACATCTGCAACATAGTGCTGCAGACGACCCCGGCCTTTCATGTAAAGGGTGTTTTTATTCCAGTCCAGTTTATTGTCTATGTGGACACCCAGAAATGCGTAATTGTCCACAATGTCCACCTCCATGCCCACAATGGTAATTGGGTTTGGGGCGGTACTCTGCCTCCTGAATCCCACCACTAGCTCCTTCATTTTAGTGACGTTGAGCTGCAGGTGGTTCCGACTGCACCACTCCACAAAACTGTCCAACACACTCCTGTGCTCAGCTTCCTGATCTCTGCTGATACAGCCCACAATGACAGAGTCATCTGATAATTTCTGAAGATTGCAGGACTGTGAGCAGTGTCTGAAGTCTGATGTGTAGATTTTGAACAGAAAGGGAGTAGGGATGCCAGCGATTATTCGATTTTTCGAATATTTGTTACAGTCTCCATAATCGAAAATTATTTTTAAAATTCGATTTTATTTATATATTTTTGTATTATTATTTATGTTTTTCTTTTTTTTCCTGGCTTAGTTTCAACCAAAATATAGACTAATGCTAATAATAGTAATAGTATTAATAATTGTAAATGGCCATTGGTGACACCACCAGTTTGTTTTACTGTAAACTTGGAGGAAGCCAGCAGCGCAGGCTGCGCAGAGTACAGACTGCTGCTGCCTGCTGCAGCCTGCTACACACCGACCCCCCCCCCCCCCCCCCTTCTCCGTCACACGTGCGATTGATTTATTGGCGATATACAGAACAGTGAGAACAACACAACTAAAGATGAACAAAGCGGCACGTTCAAAGAAGAGTTCCTCGTGGAACTACTTCGAACTGACAAGTGCAAATGAAGTAAAATGCAAGCTCTGCGAAAATACTTTTTGTTTTTTCTCATCCCGCGGGGGGGGGGGGGGGCGAATAATCTATTAATATTCGCCAGGGCTGTCCGATTTTCGAATTTGATCATGGTCAGTTTCTGGCATCCCTAGAAGGGAGAGAGGACCGTGCCCTGAGGAGCGCCCGTGCTGCTCAATATAGTGTCAGAGGTGTTGTTCTGCAGCCTCACGTACTGTGGCCGAGCTGTGATGTAGTTTGTTATCCAGCTCACCAGTGGAGCATTCACCTGCATGTCCTTTAACCTGTTAAGCCTGATTGACAGCTATCAGACAATATTGACAATTTTTACCTAACCGAAACGAGGGGTTACATATGGTAACCCTTGTTATATAAGCACAGGCGGAGCCCTCTACTGGACTCTATGGGTACTAGCCCTTGATCATATCATGCAAGCATTCATCCACTGAGACTTCTATAAACGTAGCCGGCCCCGGGGCGGGCCTACCTGAATGCGCGCGCATCTCACCGTATAAAAGGAGGCCTCGCCTCCTGACTGTCATCCTACACCTCTCTTCAGCGAGCGGCATAGGACAGACAGTGTCCCGAGTAGAGGGTTCTGCCTCTACCCCCCCGAGTAGAGGGCTCCGCCTGTGCTTATATAACAAGGGTAACCCCTCGTTATATCTCGTAATATCTCTCACAGAGCCCCGATGTATACACGCGCTGTCGTCAAACAACACCGTTCCATCCCACTGCCCCTGACCGGCTTTCTGGTTAGCAGCCGCTGCACCGCACCCTCCTTTACCTCGGTTGTGACCGTGGAGAAGTCTGGGCCGCGGCTGACAGAGCACACTCCGACGCGCTACCTCGAAAAGTGTGCTCGGAAAACAGTGCTGAGGGCTCTCCCCCCACGCCTATAGGCAGACGGAGAGAGTCCCCAGCCCCGTATGGGCTCACTGTGCACCACCTCTCCCGAGTCCCTAAGGAGCACGGGGAGAGCGCAAGTGCCCCATGTCCCCCACACTCAGATACTGACCCTGTGCAGAGTGTGTGTGTACTATAGTGTGGAGGGCTCTCCCCTCCTGCCCAAACGTTATCTCTGGGGCTACTTCGCTGCCAGCTGTAGCCCCCCGGGACCCGGAAGTGGCGTAGCCGAAGTACTTCAACATCAGTGTATGTGCTCGATATTGGCTGTATCGAACAAATAAACACAAACTAACTGTATCACTATAACATGATGGTGATAAAGAATGCACCTAACGTATAGCTGTTCATTATAGTAATACAAAAATGGCGCAATAACCCTCTTGAGTCTTTTTTAGATGTCTCCTTAAATCAACTTTTAAATGTACTTGTTATACATGGCACCCCGTGTGTTACATATCAAAATGTTCAGGACAGTCTCTGTTCTAGGTATAAAGTCACTCACCTTAGAGCACTGTGTGATGAGATAATTAGCTCTAAAGCTGAACTTAGGTTCACAAAAGTAGTGTAATATATGACTAACACTGTATATGCATTTGTAATTCATGTCTAAAATGTGTAAATTCCGAATTTTGAGTAAAATGTTTGTATATCAATCTACTTTCCCCACAGCAGGGACTGAGATACATCAGGACTGAATAATGACTTCATATGACATACCCAGGTTGTGTGATGTGTACAAATACAAATTCAGCATTAGAACTCTTTTTCAACCAACAATTTATTATAAATATTTTCTTTTCAACCAACTATTCTTAAACATATAAGAAACTACAAAATCGTACTATTTACAATATCAGAACTTATTCAACCAACTATTCATTATAAATGTAAAGACAGGGGAAGCAGTGGCAGGGTCTGAGTCCGTCTTCCAAGACAGTGGGACTGGCTGTGTGGGGGGTACGTGTGTTCTAAGAGACCTCCTTGCTGAGTTGATGCTGTTGGCTGTGGTGGAGGCCTTTGTGCCGTGGTGTATCTTGACCTGGTGGCAGGCACAGATGGAGGTGGAGGCAGCTGTAGGGATGCTGGTCTGCTGGTCCTTGGTAGTGATGGCAGTGGTGAAGGCCCTTGAGCCACAGTGTATCTTGACGTGGTGGCAGGCACAGATGGAGGTTCTGGCTCCTGGATATACGCCGCCTGTGGGCCGCTAGGCCCAGGCAGATGTGAAACCTCTCTGTAAAACAAATTAAAATGTAGGACAATAATTACTACTAAGTTCATTGAAATAAAGTTCAAACTTGTGGCATATTTCTTAAGCACAAATAACGATGCACAACTAAAAAGAAAGTTTGGGAGGTGGGGCACACACACACACACACACACACACACACACACACACACACACACACACACACACACACACACACACACACACACACACACACACACACACACACACACACACACTTTAGTGTATTTCCAGTTACTTTGCATTCAGTATAAAATCACACACATATAAATAAATCTATAACAAAGTCCCCTCTGTACAAAACAGTATGATAAAATACATGTCTATAGCCACTGTAAATGTCTCCGTTGTGGGACGAATAAAGGATTGTTTTTTCATCTACACATGTAACCTCACTTTTACACATCAAAATAACTTTTACACATAAAAAACTTTTACACAGTAAAAGTTGACTATTTGAGAGTCTGTTTTGTCCGAAGAAAAAGTTCAATAAACCTATTATTCATTTTCGCGGTATTCCACACAAATTGAAAGTACACTATTACTGTAATATTTACACTTACCCCCATGTCCAAATGGATCCTTGTTGTCCCTGTATTCTTCTTCTTCAGAAGAGTCGAAGCCTCCTGGTTCTGATGCTCCATTTTCACGAGTGCTAGCGAAAATAATCTCTAGCGCGTCCGTAACTGTTATGTTTTTTTTTTGCCATTTTCTCAGTCTCTCTCTTGTTTCCTCACATACGTTAACTGATGGGAGACACGTGGTTTATGTTTTTTTCTTGGTCGGTAGGTCCTTAGTGATTTCTTGAGTGTCCATTTGTCATTTCAGACCAACATAGCTGCAGCTGCCCCGTCCGAGATTTACTTGACTGACATACGATACAACCAAATCCCACACAGTGTAACGCAAAGTCAAGCTGCTTTGAGCGGCCTTATTGGCTGCTGTGAGTCGGGTAAAGTCTCACAATAGGTACCGCTGGAAAGCTAAAGTTCCAGCGATTCGGTGGTTATCTGCATGATATTTGTACTCCTTATAATCGAAAAGATCTGATTAAATACGTAGAATATGCACACTTCGACATGGCGCTGCGAGCGTCGACTCCAGAGGGAAGCCATCATGCTCTTACATTTGTCGATGGTGTTTTACATTTACAAACCACATATTGCCACACAATTATTTTTATGTTCACACAAATATTTATGAGACAAATCTAAGCCCTTACTCCTCCCACACAGCAGTGTTTTGAAGAAATTATATTTTTAACAAAACACACATACTCACCGTACAGACATATGAACACTGACACACAACCCCCAGAGGTATGAGGGAGGTTTAACCATCAGGTATAGCTTCTTTTTATAGACACTTATATGACCCCCCCTATGACCTTGTATCCTGGAGAGCCAGTAGCAAGTCCTGATAGTGACTCTTATGTTCATTACAAGCCCAATATTAAAATCTTATGTTTTAAAAATGCATTGTTTGTTGGTGCTGGTGCTAAAGGAAAGGTCCCGGGGGCGTTAACATCCGAAGGGTTCATCCTCAGGGAGCAGGACGGGGGTCAGCACTGTGTGAGCGCCTCCAGGTGGGAAATCAGTCATCAGAGGCCAAGCTTCAGAGTGATGCTTTTAGCAGGAAGCAGAATTTATGAACATGGATAAACCTTAATATGATTCCTGCTTGTGCTGAAATGTATAGCACACTTAAAAAGTTAGGGTTGGAGGCGAGTGATGAGGATGGAGTGGTAAACATCACTGTTTTAACCACAAGGCTCTGCGCCCTAACTTGGGATGAGCAAAGAGCAAATTGCGTATCATGTGCAGGAAGCTTTCAAGCAAAAACTGAGCATTAGTGTTTGGAATGATTACAACATATTTTATTGTATTAATGAAAAATTATATATATATATATAATATAGATTTTTTTATTCATTTAAAAAATGTGATGCAAATATACAGTGTTGTTTTGCAAGTAAATGTGGTCATTGAATGTATTTTGTGTGAAAGCAATGACAAGTTATTTACAGTTTGATCCCTGAGCGACTTCAGTTTGACCAATGCATGTTATCAATTTAAAACAATTTAAAGGTCCGATGTCATTTTTATTTTTCATTTAATCGTTTATTTGAAGAGGGACAATGCATATTGATGAACATTTAAGACAAATAATGCTTTAAAACGTAAACATGCTGGATTTGAGCTTTGAGCTAATTTCCATCCGTAGTCCATCACATACAACATTTATAAACATAGCAAAAATAAATACATGATATGCAGAAAGAGCATGAGCAGCATACACAAGCATTAACCACATGGCAGTACAATGTAGCAGCAACGACATATAAAGTGCAAGAGAAGATACAAGAGCTACATGGTCATTTCTACTGATCATATTTCCATTGTTGAGGTCTACTAAAATAGATTTATATTGTGCAATTTTCCAAAATCGCATTGGTTTCTCATACAGCATCTCTGTATAGTATGTGTATTCACTCTCTGTCCTAAACGGCTTGTTGGAGCTCCTGCCCCCCCTCCCTATGAGCCCAGTGGCCGTCTGCGAGACACAGCGAAACCCAGCCCGAACACACACACACCCGCAGCCTGGCTGGGAGTTTGTGTGTGTGCTCACACACCGACTGCAGCTGAGAAAAGATTGAGTGTGTGTGTGTGAGGAAGTCCACGGATTGGTAAATTTGGACCAATCCACGGACTTAACGTAACGGCTGCACGGATTGGTCCATTTGGGTATGGGCACGTCACTGTACCCAGGAAGAAAAAGTTAAATGTCCAACGAGGCGTTCTGGGGCAGCATAGACAGGTATTTTCTGTGTTAGAGTTTTACTCGCTACAGGGTGTACTTTGAGGGTTTGTGACTTTGCAGACCGTTTACATGCAGAAAAAGCTACATAACACACAAGGGGACGGGTAATAACCGGAAAAGCATGACATGGGACCTTTAAACCAAATAATGAAACTTTTGAAAAAGAAATAACAGTGTCTGTGCGTCTTTGTCACTGTTTATAACGTTCTACAGCTTTTCTTCACACATCATAACTTTAGAGTTAAGAGACACACACACACACACACACACACACACACACACACACACACACACACACACACACACACACACACACACACACACACACACACACACACACACACACTTCCTGTTGTTGTCTGAGAAACCTCAACTTGGAGTTAATCCTCAAGCTCAAATGCGACACTTATCGGTACTCACACAGAACACCATCATCACTCGCTGTGTTACATTTTGAAAGCAAAACCAGACCAGGAAGGAGAAAAGGATAAAGGGAAAGAACAATGGGGGCAAAGAGTAGGGAAATTAGGAAAGGAAAGAAGGGTGGGAGGCAGGAAACTGAAAATAATGCATTAAGTAGAGGAGAAAGGAAAGGAGACATGTGACCAACACAGACTCTGTCTCATGCAGGGAGGTAAAGTGGACCTGAACACAGCGCTGCCAATCAGACAGACAGCGCCCATCTTTAAACAGCCTGTTACCAAGGTAACAAGTCACCCCAGCAACAAGGTGAAGACAGACCTGCAGAGATCTAGTGAGCAGCCCCGACAGGTGAGACACACACACACACACACACACACACACACACACACACACACACACACACACACACACACACACACACACACACACACACACACTTTAGTGTCACCATGGTGATGCTTAAAGGCAAGTTAAAGCTGTTTCACAGGGGACGCAGGGGTCAACCAGGTTGTTATGGTGACGGGGGCCACTAGAGGGTGCTGAGGCATCATGGGAAAGGCAGCATGACAGTGTGTTTTGCAGAGGGAATGTAGGATGGTGTGATGATAGGAAATTGCAGAAAATGGGAGATGAACATTTATTAATAGACAAAAGAGGATTTTTATTTAATTATACAGTAGTAGGGATGTCACAGAAATATAGGATGGAAAACAATACGAGATAAATACCATGGTTCTTAAAAACGACATGTTCTTACACTCCTTTATTACTGTATGCATACGGTTTTCTGTTCAACAGGTCATAATTCCCTCTCTAATATCTATTTAATAAACATCTCATCAAACAACTGTGTTTATTGTTGCTACTCCAGTAAATAGGTCAAACTTTAGATAGGACTTTTCTGGGGAAATATTTATAATCCATTTAATAAAGCCCTTGTTAAGGCCCTGACACACCAAGCAGTCACCAGAGAACTCGCCGACGCCGACGCGGACTGTTGCGTCGCCGTGTTCTCCTGCGTCTTGGCCATGTGTCGCACTGGAACACACCGCAAAGACTTCAGCTTAGCACGTACGAACTGCGCATGCGTGAGTGGCAATCACTCTCCTTACCAGCAGGCGGCGGTAGTGTGTATTCGTCATTCAAAAGAGGCAACAACCGGAAGACAGGAGGAACCTTGGAGCGAGCTTTCTTGACATGACATGGATCGGTAAGTCTCTTGTGGATAGCCACACCCTCTGCCCCGTTCTGTAGGTAGGAGCTGCCCGCCGCCGTCGATCAGCCACCGTTTTCATCCGGAGTGAACTCTTCAGGAGGACCCGATGAGCTGCAGCCCAGATATGGTGACATCTCTTTACGAGAGCGTGAGCCGACGGCACCAACACTTCCTTCTCGGACTCTGGAAACAAGGGTGGTTGATAGCCACAGTGACAGTGAAACGGAGAAAAACCGGTAGCAGAGGTAGGCAAGGCATTGTGTGCATATTCAACCCATGTCAAGTGCTCACTCCAGGTTGCGGGGTTCTGCGAAACCAGGCACCGCAGGCAGGTCTCCAGCTCCTGATTCATCCGCTCCGTCTGCCCGTTGGACTGAGGATGGTATCCAAAGGTAAGGCTGACGGACGCTCCCAGGAGGCTGCAGAATTCTTTCCAGAACCTGGAGGTGAACTGTGGGCCCCGGTCCGACACAATGTCTTTGGGTATTCCATGAATGCGAACAACATGTTTGAGCAGAACTTGAGCCGTCTCCTTAGCAGATGGCAATTTGTGCAGAGCAATGAAATGTACCATTTTAGAAAATCTGTCGACCACCGTGAGGACAGTGGTGTTACCTTTCGATGAGGGCAAACCTGTGACGAAGTCCAAGGATATGTCGGACCAGGGTCTGCTGGGGATGGGCAAAGGCTGTAAAAGACCCATTTGTTGATTAGATTAAGTCTTATTTCTGGCACATACTGTACATGCAGCCACGTACTCTGCCACGTTGCTTTGGATAAAAGCGTCAGCTAAATGAAATGTAATGTAATGACCTGTGACCGCATAGATATAGGTACGAACAACCTATTGGCTGGACAGCCACTGGGTTTCGGGCTCTCACCACTGGCACGCTTTACCTGAGCTACTATAGGCCAAGTCACCGCTCCAACCACATGGTTAGGTGGAAGGATTGGGTACAGTTCCTGTAACTCTTTTTCATGGAGAAATGACAACATCTCCAGAGCAGTTTTTGGTAGTGGCAGCTTTGGGAGGTTGATGATCTCCTGGACCATCTCTGCACCATCAATATCAGACTCTCCTGCTGCAGTCAGTGTCTTCTCTACCTTGCTGCAGTGTTTCTGCAAGTCACCCCTGGGCATTCCTTGAAGCTGAAGGGCTCATCTGCAGTTTCATACCCAAACTGCCTTTTTGTACTCCTCAGCCTCTTCACCTTAAGTTCTGGCTCTATGTTGAGGATCTCACAGATTTCCTTGGCAGTTGACTGAGCATCAGTAAACCCGGACTGTCTGTACGCTGCAAGAGAGGATTTTGCAGTTTCAATGAGTCTGACAGCAATGTCAAGTTGCATTGAACTGAACTGCAGCAGCTTATTCACCTGGTTTATGGTGGTGAGAATGTCAAACCATACCACTGTGCATATCAAAAACCTGTATGAAGCCACTTCTTCTGCCAGAGCCTGAGACAGACAATAAATCCATCATTCAAGCAGACTTAACCTGTTAAGCACCAAGCCTGTTTTTCATGTTTCAGGCTCGAAAATGACATGCCCAAAACAAATGACTACAACTTAAAGGTGGGGTAGGTAATTTTGAGAAACCGGCTCGAGATACACTTTTTGTTATATTCCATGGAATGCTCTTAACAGCCCGATAGCAATGAATATCTTAAGTGCTTTGACAAAAAATCCATAAAAAAATGTCATCTGTGGAAGCCGTAATACTGTAAAAAGTACGACCAATCATTTTAGGAGGGGCTCTATAAGGAAGTGGCAGATTTTCTCCGGTTGTGTATTTTCAAATTCTAGCGATCTCGAGCCGGTTTCTCAAACTTACCTACCCCACCTTTAACTTCTAAAAGGGTTATATGAATAATTTCTTTTATCAAAGCAAGGTTACATCTGTGAGTTGGATGTAGAAGTGTCAGAATCAATATAGATTTTACTCAGTCACAGTGGCGAGCCGTGAGCTTTATACCTAGGCCCTCTGACCCCCACCCCTTCCCTCGAAAAAAAGACGTTATTACGTCACAGCGTATACTTCAGCGGAATATCAAAACAACGGCCCAGGGTGCAAAACGCATCAATGACAGCGACCCTCTACCACACAAAACAACACCTGTGAACCCAATTTGTGTTCTTTGACATTGAAAATGATATTGCATTGTGTTTGTTACTTTCATTGCAGTTGTATGTCTTAAGTGTAATTTGGCATGCTTTTATTTTGAAGGCGAGTTCACGCTGTTGACAGGAAGTTGTTGTTGCTATGGAAACAAGAACAGTTTCACAGCGGGCGGAACTCGTCATAAAGTCCGCGATAATAAAACCCACCCATTTAGAGGGAAGATATGATTGGTCAATTGTACTGTCATTTGACATTACTCTCTCGTTCAGTTACTATAGCGGGCCCTCTGTGAATCGCAGAGAGGCCCGCTATAGTAACTGACATTCAAACAGAGACTGAACAGGCAGATTCGAAGGATTTATTTCTTTGGAAATGTTATTTTATTAAATCAAGTTTTTTTTCGGTAAAACTAATGAAAAATATAACAAAAATAATATTAAAAAAAATATATATTTTAAAAAAATATATTTTTTTTTAATGTTTTTAAATATTATTTTTTGGAATATCTTAGGCCCTCACAGAGGGCCTAGAGGGCCCTGACGGCTCGCCACTGCTCAGTCAGAATAAATTCAGATGGAACATGGTAAAAAAAGGTAAATTCTTACCTCCGCCTAAAAGAAACCCATTACTTATAGTGAAAACCACCCTTGAATGATGGGATGGTAGACTAAAAGCTTTAGGAATCCAAAGTACAACATATAATAAGTACCCTGTATCGAGATTGATGGAAAACAAGTGACATTTGACCTTTTTAGCCAGGTTTAGAAAAAAAAACCCACCTCTGGGGTGATTTGGGTGTAAATGGGCGTTTTTACAGTTTCTCTGGAACCCATTGGTCGATTTTGGTGATTGTAATCTCTTCCTGACCGTCAGAGCCAATAGAATCGATAGACACATAGACACCAACATTAACACAAAAAGGTGGGGGCTTTGCGCATGCAGGCTTGCATCAGAGTGAAGCGATCTCTCGCTCTGACATCTGGAAACGGAAAAGAAGTTTTATTGCTTATGGATTATCAGAAATCATTTCAAAGAGGACACAGACACATTGGATTAACCTATGGATTAACTGCAGCATCGTTTTTTATCGTTTTAATGCCATTGAAGACCAGTTTTGACCAGACTAAGACCAAGGTAAGCCATGTTAGCGTTTGTAGCTACCTAGCGCCAAATGTTTTGATGTACGTTTTCATTTATAGAGTCGCAAATTTGTATCACTGAATGTTGAGGTGGGCACCCATCGATTCTGTGTCTCCAGACGATGCTAATCGATGGGTTGACTGTGCATCTAGGATAAGTAATAAGGGAGTTATGAGTGAGTTTCGGTGCAGTGATAGGTTAGCATTTTTTCGCTCGTGGCTAATTCAGAGGCTGAGTGTTAGCATTGTGTTTTTCTTTTTGATTTAAAAAAAAAAAAAGATCAGTGAGCTGAGTTTCTTCCCGTTACATGGATATAAAACATTCATAGTTTATTAAATATTAAGATTCCTTAGACGTTGTTTCCTGCAAATGACGCGTTTATCCGCCCGGTACCGGGGGGGCGGTGCGTAACAGGTTAAGATATGTTTTGATCTTAATAGTGCACTACAGAATGAATATAGTGAAAATACTAGCCTCAAAAAGATTAAAATATAATTAATGCAAATAAACTACTTCTACTAATAATAATAATCATAATCAATTCAATAATATAAATACTATATTATTATAATATTGTTTTAATATAGTCAAGACAAAACATGCTTATTACATGCTCAAAAACTGATATTTCTTAAATCTGTATTCAAATGTAGTTCCCTCTGAGTTGTTGATCAATGTATCAACAACTACACACACATTTCTATCAGTATTTATCTGTGTTGTGGTTGACATGATGATGACTGTTAGGAATTAAGGGGAGAGGCTGAGCATCACCATGAAATGTGCAAATTGACATAAAAATGAAATAAAAGGGGAAAAAATGCTCCATGTTTTTTAGGCTGTAAACTTTTAACTGTTATGTAAGCCAACT